TCGGGGGGCCGGGGGCAGGGGCAGTCGGGCTGAGAGAGCGACAGGGCTCGGGCAGGGTCTTTGAGGGGCTCCGCATGGATCCGTTGCTGTCGCTGGGTGCTGGGCTCCTGCTGCTCGCGCTGTGGGCGCGGCTCAAGGGGCTGGACTACCTGCTGGTCCATCACCGCTGGGTCTTCGTCTGTCTCTTCCTGCTGCCCCTCTCGGTCCTCTTCGACATCTACTACCAGCTGCGCGCCTGGGCCGTGTGGAAGCTGCACAGCGCCCCCCGGCAGCACAGCCAGCGCGTCCGCCACATCCAGGCACAGGTGAGAGTGAAGGGACCCAGGGGTGGCAGAACACAGCGGTGGGGAAGGTGCAAGGGGTTGGCAAGTGGGGATGGGATCCTGGCTGGCTTTGGTAAGATAAGCCTGATCTTTGATGTTCACAAGAGCCCTTTTAACGGCTATGGTCTTTTTCATCATCCAGACAGAATCTGCCAGGCACGTGCTGGCCTGGCTCCTGTTAGAAGCTGGTGCTGCCTCCTAAGTAGAGGATCTTGCTGTGAGCAGTACCCTGCACTCTGTGCTGGCTGCCTATGCTTAGGTGAAACTTGGGTTGCTGGTTTTAGCCTTTAAAGTCCTAAGTGGCCTATGACCTATTCACCTCAGAGACTCCCGCTCTCCCCCTGACATGTTGCCATAGCAGAGGTCAGCATGGATGCACAAGCTGGAGCTTCATGTGGATAAACAAGCAAGCTGTGGTTAAGATGTTCTCTATGAGAGTTCCTCAGTGTTGGCATTTATGTGGAGCGGGTCCAAAACAGCCTGAATTTGATACCATTTAGCACATCTTTCAAAACTTGTCATTTTCCCCAGGCAGTTGAAAACTTAGTAGGGCACTTATAAAGGTTGGAGACTGTTTAGTCTTAAATTAAGTTTAAGAATTACTAATTTAGGAATAAATTTGTTTACAAGACTAGGTTGTTGACTGACCAAATCCCAATTTGGAGGACAAGTGGATTGCTTTTTGTCTGGTATGTATCCCAGGACCTGCCCAGATGGGATAGCATTTCCTGGAATTAAAGCTCCTATCAGTATAGCTCACATTGGGGTCATTAGAGCACAGAATCCTTTCCCAGGGAAGTCTGACAGTTCAGAAATAGCCTAATGCTGTGATGTTGTCTTAAACTGTACTGTAGTACTTTGGATGTATTTTTAAGAAAGGACACCCAAAGGTCTGGATGGGCACCCTTTTTATAAATCTAATTATGATTCTAATGTACCAGGTACCAACTTTTGTTAAGGCTGTAGTTATCTGACGAGCACTAACAAATTCATAGCTGGAAACCCAACCAGTTCACCTGTATGTTAGTATTGTTCAAGTTAAGCGTTAAAGAGTTGTAAGAATCATAGAATACTAGGACTGGAAGGGACCTCGAGAGGTCATCAAATACAGTCCCTTGTCTTCATGGCAGGACCAAATACAGTAAACTTCCGATAAGACTTTGTCACCATACTGTCATGGGCGCTCTTGCACAAAAGCACAGCGGGCACATGGCAGTGTGGACATTTTCTTGTGCAAGACTTCTTGCACAAGAACCCTTGCACAAGATGTTCTTGTGCAAGAAGCCGCCAGTGTAGACATAGCCTTAGTGTTTTCATCTGTGTGATTGCAATAGTTCCTTAGGGTGTGTCTAAACTACATGGCTCCATGGAGCCATGTAGTTTAGACACACCCTATAAGAGCTACCGCAACCAAACTTGCATGGGATAACCTTTCATCCAGGAGAAGGTTTTAAGGTACTTTTGGATCCAATCAGGCCCGAGCTCAAGCTGTAAAAATAAAAAAGTAATCCGTCGTGCTGCGCTGCAGGGGCCGACCCGCCCACCCTAGATCCTGTGCCTGCCGCCTGTGGCCCCCAGTGCCATCTGGGACTCGCCCCCTCCCTCCCATGAGATTACATAAGCGAACTTCTCCCTTTCCTCCGTGCCAACCCCCATGCGCACAACAGCTTGAGCACCCCCGTTGCCCCCTGCGGTACCTGCAGCCCTGGGCACGAGATGGGCTGCCCCTCCTCCGTGTAACCTCCCTTGCAGCCGGGGTTGCACACCCCCGCCGGGGATGACGTGGACCTATATTTTAATCCCTATAGAAATCAGTGCAACTTTTCTACCATTCAAAAAAAGATAATGGACTACTGTTTTTCTACATTTTGTTCCTCCAGTTTCTCGAGCACTGCTGGGTAAGTCTAGCTAGTTTTGAAATAAATTACCAAAATAATTGAAACTGGTGTGATTGGATTGTGTTATTTTGACAAACAGAATAGGCAGAATTTTGCAGAAGGGTAGTGTTTTTGTGCAGTTTAAAAAAAAATTGGTGCAGAATTCCTACAGAAGTGTGATTGGCTACAAATTTTGTCTCTGGTGTGACATCTGAAGTACAAATTGACCTGGGGTAATTGTCTCTCTTGGGAGTAAGAGTGATCTGAATATTCTGTGATCTTTGGTATAAGTTATCATTTATCACTATGTCCAGCTTGCCTGGGTATCAAGTTAGACTGGAGTGCCCAATTGGATTATCTGTGACTCCATAGTAAAGTTGTTATAGTGCTTCCGGAGTTTGATAATAGGTTGGGGAAATCTAATCACATAACATATAATCACTTTGGGGTGTCTGTCCTGCTTTTTGGCAGTCTACCCTAAGGTTGGCACTCAGTCAAGAGCTGCTCCATGTAGCATGACATTCATAATGAACTTTTCAGCTTCATAGGTTTCCTGTTGTGGGGGAGTGGGGTGGCATCATTTATATAATAGCTTTAAAAATGTACAAAGATCCAGCATTACTTAAGAGGCATAGCACTGTGAATTCATTGTTTCATTTACCATGGCACTCTATATTCATATTTAAACAGTATAATGGGGAAATATTTAGTTTATATATAAAAGTTTCATATCAAAATGACTGACCAAGTATTATTTTATCAACTATGATTGGTTAATAATTTAGACTGGTTAATAATTACATTATTTGAATATCGCATTACTTAAGAGGCATAGCACTGTGAATTCATTGTTTCATTTACCATGGCACTCTATATTCATATTTAAACAGTATAATGGGGAAATATTTAGTTTATATATAAAAGTTTCATATCAAAATGACTGACCAAGTATTATTTTATCAACTATGATTGGTTAATAATTTAGACTGGTTAATAATTACATTATTTGAATATCATGTGCTGCAGAAAGCCTCAGAGGACACTGGGCAGGTACCCTTGGCCACTTTTTATCTGTACATCATACTGGCCCCTACTGGTCCACTTTCACCTTTTCTGATAAGGGTTCAGCTGAAGTATTGTGTCCAATTCTGGGTGCCACATTCAGGAAACATGGATAAACTGGACCAAGTCCTAAGGAAAGCAACAAAAAGATTAAAGGTCTAGAAAAACATGATGTATGAGGAAAGATTGAAAAGGTTGGATTTGTTTCGTCTGGAGAAGAGAAGACTACGGGGGGATATAAGTTTTTAAGGACATAAAAAGTTGATACAAAGAGGAGGGAGAAAAATTTTTTAATTAACCTCTAAGACTAGGACAAGAAGCAAAGAGCTTAAGTTCAATAACGGAGGTTTTGACTGCACATTAGAAAAACTTTCTATCTGTCAATGTAATTAAGCACTGGAGTAAATTGCCTTGGAAGGCTGTGGATTCTAATTTAGTCAAGGGTATTTTTAATAAAAGTCATGACCAGGTCATGGGCAATAAACAAAAATTCAGGGCCCATGACCTGTTAGTGACTTACACAATAAATAACCTTGACTAAATCTTGGGGGAGGTGGGGTGCTTCACAGAGGGATGGGAGGTACCGCTGCTTGAAGGGTGGGGCCAATGGCACCAGCTGCCAGGGCTGCCCTGGGACTGCTGCTGAGGGTAGAGGGAGTGAATAACAGCTGGTGTAGCTGACCCAAGGCCACTCCTGTAGTAGCTGGTGTGGCTGTCCCTGGGACAACATGAGCAGCTGTCCCAGGAGCTAGCTGGTTTGGTGGCTCTGGTGTCAGCCGCACTGACTGCTGCAGAAGTCACAGAGGTCATGGAAAGTCATAGGGTACGTCTAGACTACATGCCTCTGTTGCCAGAGGCATGTAGATTAGGCTACCAGACATAGTAAAATGAAGCGGCGATTTAAATAATCGCCGCTTCATTTAAATTTACATGGCTGCCGCGCTGAGCCGACAAACAGCTAATCAGCTGTTTGTCGCCGCACTGACTGCTGCAGAAGTCACAGAGGTCATGGAAAGTCATAGGGTACGTCTAGACTACATGCCTCTGTTGCCAGAGGCATGTAGATTAGGCTACCAGACATAGTAAAATGAAGCGGCGATTTAAATAATCGCCGCTTCATTTAAATTTACATGGCTGCCGCGCTGAGCCGACAAACAGCTAATCAGCTGTTTGTCG